CTGCATGTGAGGTCTTGGAACAGCATGGCTGGCACACACAAGCGCTTCATATGCAGGAGCTGTCATGGTTGTGTCTGGCGGCTGCTCACTCACAAATGGCCCTCCTAAAGAGGCCCAGGAGACAACGGCTCCCTGGAAGCCCCTCCCAGAAGACCCACTTCAAAGAGTGGCCAGTTGCAGCCACAACTAAACATCACACAGGGACTGAGAGAGACCCCTCCAGAGCTGGGGCCTGAGTGATCAGGAAGGGATTGGGTAGTAGGTCTGTTCATTTCTGTTTAAAAGCCTGATTTATATGCTAAAGTGATCAAATCAAAGGGAGTCTCAGCCCTAGACTTGTTCATCCCACACGTGGGGTCCCAAGAAGAGTGAATATAAGAGTCAGTGGGTCTCAAACCCTCGTCTAATGTTCAGGAGAATCCCTAGTCTACCTGTGGAGGCGAAGGCGGTAGGGGCACTGGAGAGGTGAAGAGTCAAGACCATGACCCCGAGGACACTGCTCTTAGGAAAGACATGCTCCCTCCATTCCTCTGGGTGGTGGCGGCGTACAGTTTTCTAAGCAGTGCAAATAGCCCCAAGTCTTCTGTCCCTGCCTGTCCTGGGCCTCTCGCTACCCTCCTCCAGACCCATCAGGCTCTGCCAGGGCCCAGCCTGCTCTCCCTTTCCTCATGGGAATTCCTCAGGAATAAGGTCCTGTTCAGAGATTACACACAGCACAGTGGGCAGGATGTACTCAAACAACTTCTTCCTAGCGATGAAACGCCAGAGCCTTCCAGACGTGGAGCGTGACAGACAATCTGTCTTCACTTCTAAATGTCCCCTAAGAAGAACAAATCTGTTACACTCTGGCCAACACATTTCCGTGCAAATGAAATAATGAAATCTGACCCAAACGTCAAGCTCTAATACACCCTGGGGTTTCACAGAGGATGGCGTAGATCTGGTGCGGGGAGGGAACACCCAGGGAACTTTCTTCTGGCCGCTCAACCCAAAAGCTGCCCTTCATGCATTTTCGTGGAAATAATGGATGCCGGTGCCTCCATGTGTATGTGGTTCACATCGGAAAACATCACGCCAGCCAGAAAAGAGACTGCTCACAGCCAGCGTGGAACAGTCCCCCATCCACTGGCCTTCAAAACTGCTGAAGCGAACATTGCAGAAAGGAAATAGAGCAAAGCCAAATTTCCCAGCCATGTGAAAACTGAGGGGGAGCAGCTTCCAGCCCCAAAGGACCCTACCCCTGGCCGCTGTCTGGCCTCACTGCTGGCCTGCTGTGGCCGCGCTCCTTAGCAGAGTATAGGATGGTCCCAGACTGCCTCCCTTCCCCAGAGGATCCAGTAAGTCCCAGCAAGTCCTTGTTGTCTGGCGAGTAGATCTGCCTTCAAACCAGACCTGAGATGTTCAAGGTTTCCCTGGGCCGGGGGGTGGGGCAAGGGTCTCTGATGCTCTGGTGCCTGTGCTTTCAAGTGGGACAGGTAACAAAAATAGCTAACGTTTACAGAGAGCTTACTAAACGCCAGGCGCTGAATTAAGCACTCCACGTGCGTTTTAAATACTCAACTCCTATGAGGTAGGTACTATCATCACGTTTTACAAATGAAGAAACCGAGGCTGATTTCTTTTATAAAAAGCGAAAACTTCTCAGGTAAGGCTGGAATGGGCGTGGCCCTTTGAGCTCAGAATGCCTGCTGTTATTATTTGGTGAAGGCTGGTGGGATACGTTCCTTCTTGGGAGTGTCTTCTGTGGAAATAAGACATAAAAGGTGGAGAGTCCACTCCCAAGAGCGCCGAGGGCCCAATTCCAGAAGCAAGTGTCACCGCATCAGTGATGCTCAGACACAGGTCAGCAGCAGAGGCACATTCTGCCCCGGCCCCTCCTCTCCTCCCTCCCCCTACAGGCCTGAGAGTTGGGGGGCAGGCCTATTCCCCTCCGAGGGGCTTTCCACTCTCTCCTTCCTTGTCCGCCTGCCTCTTGGACAGTGCTGTGTCTTGGGCTGTCTCAGTCTCAAGGGGATGGGTGACTTATGTCCTTTTATTCAGCAAACAGCTTTGTACAGAACAGATGCAACCCACTGAATGTCACCAGGCGGGGACAGGGGAGCCGTGTAGAATCCCAACGAATCCTGCCAGGCCTGGGCAAAAGGGCACGGGGAGACTTCACTATTGCTATCATGTATGTCTTCCCTGCTGGGAGAAAAGAAGAGGCTGCAGATCCCGAAAGGTTCCAGGATAGCTGGCTGGAGTGGCAGGGAAAGGCCGAGACCCCCAGTGTCCTGGCTCCCCTGCCAGTGCCTCCCTCTCCTGCTTCTCCATCTTCTTCTGGTGCTTTGCAGAAGGCCCTCTCCACCGGGGAGACAAGCCGGGCAGCTGGAGAACAGCGGACTTGGAGGAGGAGGGCTCCTTTCTGTGGACTGATCAGTGGGCTGAGGCAGAGTGAGCCAGGGCCTCGGACCCCAGGACCTTTGTGGCTACAGAACAGAGCACAAGGGTCGCAGGCATTTGTGGAGCAGAATCTGGGCTCAGCTCTACACTCAGCCCTTCCCAAACCCAGGAAGCTTGCTGGAGGCCCCTCTTTCCACACCCCTCCTCTCATCTCTCCCCATCCACGCCTGGTCTGTTAAGTTAGTCCCCTGAGACCATGAGGCACGCCTACTCCTGCATGCACACATGGGATGCCCAGCCCAGCCCAGCCCCCTTCGCAACACACACTAGACACCCAATATTTGTTAAGGGAATAACGAATAGTCATACCATTCTCCCATGAATGCTGTCACCCTAGCACTGGCCTAAAGCCCAAAGGCTGCTTTGGGGTGCTCTGGCAGAGTGACAAGTGTGGCCCCAATGTTTGGGGCAGACGATTCTCCGTGATGCCAGTGTGCTACAAACCCACCAAGGAATGGAAAAGATGACAGATTCACAGGACTAGGACGGACCTTTAAGATCACACTGCCCCGCCCTCTCAATGTACAGATGGGGAAACTGAGGCCTGGGAAGAAGTAACTTGCCAAAGCTACACAGCACACAGGAGCAGAGCCAGGGTTCGCATCTGGGCCCTCTCACCTTGGTCCAGCCATTCTCCTGTCCCACCACACTGCCTCCTATCTCTGGAAGAGCTCACCAGGGCAGGAGTCCAGCCCCTGCCCACCTGAGCCTGACCCCTGCCTCGGCTGCTAGCCCAGGTCCCAGCCAGGCTCCCCTCCCCAGCACAGGCTGCAGCGGCTGGTCTGAGGCTCCAACCCACAGCCCAGTCTCCCAGGGAGGATGACAATTAGTTTTCATTGTGCTGCTCGAGAAAAACTCCATGTTCCCAGCACTCCAGATCAATGTGGCCTGGCCGGTTAGGAATCCAGGGACCAGCCACACGGGGACACAGACAGGTGGTGAGTGAGCAGAGGCACACCTGCTCCCAGTGCAGGGAGACAGAGCAGGGCCACGGGGTGGGGACACCGAGTGAGAGGGCGCATGGCACCTCCACACCCCCTCGAGAGGAATGAGAGGGGACAAGAGCGCAAGAACAGCTGAGAGATGAGCCTGACGGAGGGCAAATGCGGAAAGGAAGGGAGAGAAGCCGACTTGACTTGACCTTCCTCCTCCCGCATCCCGGGGTGTACTCTGGACCCCCATACTACTCCATCTGTCAGTTCACCGCCCTCTTCCAGGCACTCTGAGCATCTCAGCCACTGGTTTTGGGAGGGATGACAGATAGTCCGAAGCCACTGAGGGTCAGAGGCAGGAACGTGGTTCTGCCCAACTAAGGGCCATCCACAGCCTCCAAGGTCCGAGACAGATCCAAGCCCTCGCTCTTCCGACTGTATCAGACAACTGCCACATCAGTAAATTTAGGAGTGTGACAGAGACTTCAGAGGGCAACCAGTCCACCCCTCATAAGGCAGCCCCCCAATACACACACTCTCTACAGACGTGGAAACGCAGCCCAGAGAGCAGTGGCTTGTCCACAAGGTCACACAGCACCAAGACTTCCCCACGAGTAGAAGCCCAATCTCTGAGCCCCCAGTCCAGGAACACTGATGACCAACGGGCCAGGTGACCCCCAGGCTTCCGCACCCTTGGGCAGAAGGAGCCCCTGCCCTTCTCTTAGCAGGTCCTTTCTGCTCCAGGGGCAAGTATTAAAGGGAGAGGTTCTCCCAGGACCCCTGGGGAAATGCTTATGCTGACTGTCCCGAAGAAGGAGAAAGAAGGGAGAGAAATGGGGAAGGGTCCCTACAGAACGGTGACCCTCAGGAAGGAAGGGAGCTGAGGGCCTAGTGGAAGAAAGAAAGAGCACAGGGGAGCGGCAGGGAGCTGGAGCAGATGTCCTGGGGCCTCAGCCCCTTCCCCTGGAAGGATCATCTCCAAAGTCCTGCTCACCGCAGCCCCGCCCTGCACCCTGCAGAGGCTGAAGCTGAGCGCCAGCACAGCCCCTCGTCCCCACCCCGTCCCCAGCCCATCCCTCCACTGCACTTTAAAACCACTTTCTTTGATTATTGTGATTTTGTTGGTTAACTTCTCTTTATGGAATCACAGTATTATCTTGCTCTAAATACCCTCATCTAGCCCCTTCTTTTTTCTGCTTCACGTTTTGCCTCCACCAATATGAAAACAAGCCTGGGGGGGTGGCCTGGGGGCTGGACAGGCGGCAGAGAGGGTGGCCTGAGGGGGCTTTCACTGGGCAGAGACGGCCCCAGTGCTGATGCAGCTCTCCGCTTTTCCTGACTCTTTCTCTTGCCCTGAAGGATGGCAGGGAGGGAGGGCTTCTGGCCTCCTTCGACTATTTCTGTATCCTGGTGCCTCGAATGGAGCGACTCTCCAGGAGTGACAGAGGCTCGGGTCAGCAGGGGCGATTGGCTAAAGACCAGTGATTCTGGCCCCTGGGGCCACTCAGGAAGCTGCTGGGACTAGAGCAAAGGCCAAGACTTCAGAGGTCCAGGCTGAGGTACCAGGAGGGCCGGCAGGTGGCCGAGGGAAGGGGGGTGGCGGGGCAGGGAGCACGGGGCACTCACTCCAGCACGTCGCGGTTGAACTGCTTCTTGCTGTTGCCCAGGAACTCTCCGATCATCTGGCGGCTGAGGCCCTTGCGCTGGAGGAGGAAGTGGGCCACGCCGATGGGGGTGTCGGGGATGAAGCCGCGGGAGATCAGGAACTGGATGCCCTTGTCCGGGTTTCTGGGGGGATGGGGAGAAGCAGTAGAGAGTGAGCCGAGCCAGTCCACGACTTCCTTCCTCCCTGTCCTTCAGCCCATGAATCCCACTAAAGTGCTGGGAGGTCCTTGGAAACTGAGTTGCCAGGATTCTGCTGCAGAGCTGTCCCGCATCTGGAAACATCTCTCACCAGAACCTCAACCTCCTGAACCTCCCCACACAGAGGGTGATGTGGGGCCAGAGGGTTAGGGAGGGCCTGGCACGAGCAAAGTGGATTCCCGAGCAGGTGGAAGAGTGTCCTTCTCTGTCCCTGCCTTCTGGATCTCGCCCCAGGCCTGCCAAGGAGGCCTTTCCTCCCTGCCTGTATCCTGAGGTCAATGCGCAGGTCCACCCTGGAATTCAGAGAGAGGGTGGGGGAGACAGGAGAGAGATCTTCCACCACCACCCCTCCCCTCCATGTGGTGGACACAGTCCTGCTTTTCAGCGTCCCTCTGTGCAGCTAGGTGTGTGACTTCAGGCAACTGCACTTGCCACGCGGCCTGCAAGTCCGCACTGCTCCCTGAGCTGTTTCTTACTGGTCCAGGCAAAGATAAGCACAGAAATAGAGAACAAGCTTCTAGAACTTTTTACAGGACTTTGACATTTTGGGGACAACCAAGCATGTGATTGTCTTTCTAGCGATTCATTTTTACTGTATTTTACAAAAGTATTAGCGCATGACATATTTGGGGATATAACCAAACTGGTCCTTCACTACAGACAGTTTGAGAATCGCTGTCTTGAGGTATGAGTGTCTGTGTTTTCATGAGCACACAGAAATGACGCTGGGGCGGTGGGGCAGTGCCCATCAGAATGGCAGCCTGATGTGGAAGAGAGTGCCGTGGATTTGCAGCCACACAGATGTGGCCTCACCTAGATGGGCCGCGCGCTAGCTGGTTAACAGCGCGACTGGCCTTGCTTCTGTGAGCCTGTTTCCTTTCCCTGAAACGGCGGGTACTACCAATCTCCAGACACAGTTGGGAAGATGGCAGATGCTCAGGTGAGCTATGCTGTGAACAGCAGGACCTTCCCTAGAACAGGAGCTCTTTGAGACCAGGGTGTGTCACGCCACTTTTTGTAGCCGCAGGGTCTGGCCCTCAATAAGTAACAGTCAAGTGAATAAACGATGCCCGCCCGGCGGAGAGATGCGCAGCTCCTGACCGGGGCTGTGAAGGAGCTGAGCGGAGGGAGGAGGCGGGTGCCTCGGGGACCCCACACTTCTGCGGGAGCGGCGCGTGTGCTTGCGCTGCTTGGCTCTGGCTGTATGCACCCTGCATGCAAGGGGTGGTCTGGTCGGGCTTCTGAGCAGTGGCGGTCGCTCCCTTCTGACTTCCGTCCCCTGTTCTCTGCTTGCTTCACTCCCTCCCGCTCTCTCCCTGTGTTCTTTCCACCATCTCTCCTCTCCCCCCCACAGCCCCTCACTCCACCAACCTGTGAGATAACGCCGCCCCCAACTAGGATTCCTGTGCTGCTCACATTTCCTGTAATTCTCTCACTTTTCAAACGCTACCTTCATCTTTAACAGTAATAGCTGTGAAAACATGCGTTTCATGTGTTCTTTTTTTCCTAATCCTTCTTAGAATAAATTCACAACAATTAAAAATAAAAGTGTACTTCCTAAACATTGTTTCAGGGATCAGGTATGGTGCCAATTCCACCTGGGAGGACCCTGGGGTGATCGTGGTGAGTCACTTGGCACCCTGCTTGGTCGACAGAAGGCTGCTGGAAACGCGAGTCCCCCTCCCCTCCCCCTCCCC